TTTTGACCCCGGCCCGAAAATCGCTCTCGTCCAACAGCCCATGGCATGAGAGCGCGCACGCGGCCCTCGCTGGCGGTGGACCTGGCGGACCTCTACGACGACTTTGCCATCGGATGGAATGAGCTCTTTGACGAGGCCAGAGATGGATCAAAATTCAATTCCTCTTTCTAGAAAACCACCAAACATCCTGGGGAAAGGGCTGGTTTTTGAAAAGAACGATGGCTGAAAGAATGGGGAATCAGCCCCTAGAATAATGTTGACCCCCGATTAATCAACCCCAGTTCAATAGGGGGTGTTCCCGTCCCAAAAGTGAACAATCCCCACTAAAACCAGAGACACCCCCATATTAATAAACAGGGGTTTACTAGTAGAGAGTGTTCATTACACCGCTGGAACCACGGGTTTCCCCAAAGAACCACGGCACGTGGAGGAAGCTCTCCTGTTGAAGGACACCCTTTTCCGGTGTGCAAAAAATCGCAGGGAGCGTCATGTGGTTCGTCCTTCCTTGCAAGTGCCATTCAGGTGCGGCTACAAGCGCTTGTGGCCAATAGCCTGCCTGGTCTGTTCCAATGATTTACACCTTTCAAGTGATCTGCCGATGGATATAGACACATGGACTGTTGGAAATGTGGTGTGATTGTGTGCCAACAGAGATCATTTTTTTCACCCTGCGCTTCAGGAGCCTGGGTTGAAGCCAGCGAAAGAGCTGGCGAAGGAGCCTGCTCCGACTGCCAAGGGCAAGAAGGTACCAGTGCCGCCCTACCTGCGCATCGGAGCTTAAGCTGAACGTTTGCAGTTGGTGTAGCGCTTACTCCTTTCCATACAGCTTGTGTATATGAGTCCTAAATGCCAGATTTGATACATGGATGATGTTGGGCGTGTACACATCTAGATCCCTTCTGGTGCAGCATGCTGTACAGCTCAGGAGGAGGCAAGCGCAGTGTCATCGAGCGTGGCATGAAAGAGCGAGTGCTCTTTTGCCCCGCAAACCAGATCCTTGGCACTGCAACGCTTGTTGTTCCCACTGACCTGGTGCGGGAAAGCACCCCTTGCATCGAAATAGATCGCAGGCTGCAGGGATTCTTGGCTCTTGACTTGCCTGAAACTTGGGGGACCCACCGAACGAGTTCTCGAAAAGACACAACATGCACAGGGTCACGTGACGAGGTTTGGTGCAGTCTGTCTATAGTAGAACCAACACCTGGCGCAACAGGTCACAAGACTGATACTCGCTTTGTATCACCTAGGTTCCGGGATGGACTTGCAATGTTAGTACACATTGGCAAACTCAACATAGATACCTGCCTTATGTTGCGAACCTATGTATATTAATTTGCGTCGCAGGAGCCTGTTCTTGTTGTTTAGGCAATGCTGCAAGCCACACGGGTTGTGCGGGGACAGCGGCACGGCTGAGTCTTTCAGACACAAAAGCACAAAGGACGCAAAATGGTCTGGCAACAGGGCTGAGAATCCGAGTGAAAGGCCTTCTACCATTGGTGGCCCTTGACAACTTGCGCGTCTGGGTTATTTCCGGAGCGCTTGAGATCTTCGGTGGCTTTGCTTCTCCAGACGCCTTGCCCCTACTGACACCTTAGACGCCCCTTACACTCCCTCAGGCTAACATGGAAGGGGGAGGGGTGGGAGCTTCCATGGAATCGTGGGGACGCAATCAGGATCCGGAAGCCCGCGGAGGCCGTAGAGCTGGAGCTGGAGCAGCTGAGGTCGCAGCTGCTGAAGGAGCACCAGACGCAGCGCCGGGAGCGCCGCCTGCTGCGGCGCCTGAGGCGCCGCTGCCGGCCCCAGGCGAAGGGAGATTTTGCGGGGGACAGCTTGGACAGCTTGGATTGCCAAAAGGGTGGGATCTTTAGACTTTGACTTTTTGGGGTTTTTTTGTGGGTTTCCATTAAACGCACAAAAAGTTAACTTTTGCAGAGGGGTCAACAGCATCCAGGGGCAGGAACCCTGAGCACTGCGTGGTTTCCCTCCGGATTCCGTTTTGAGACCCAACATGGGGGATTCACAAAAAGACACCCCTTGTGCCGAGAGAGTGTGCGATTTGCTTGGAGCCTGATTTCGGCTTTCTGTAATGTAACTCCTCTATTTGGTGCTGAACATGACCACATCTGTTCCAAGTTGCATTTTCCGAACAAACCAATGTGTGCAAACCACAAGACGAGCTGAGTGGATGCTCGTTTCTTGCCGTGTTTTGCAGCATGCCCTTACATTGTGAGTTGCGACTCAGCAGCTCTTGGTCGGGTATGTGAAGGGGACCAGTCCCCAGGTTGGGAGGGGGGGTACATTCCCATTTGTTTCACAACGGGAGGGGCTCAAGTCCCCAAACCACCTCTCCAAACCACCAACTCGCGCGGGAAAAGAACCCTCATGGGCGAGCTTCTCTCAGGTGAGCTGCCGGTTTTTCCGAGACCCACCAAACTCCGAAAAGAAAAGAACAAAAAGAGAAAAGAAAGAGAAAAGAAAGAGAAACACGGAAACACGCAGAGGACATCCCTGGCCCGATCGATCGACCGGAGGCCGAAGAGTTGGAAGGCCTGGAGAGGTTGAGGCTGATGCCGCTGGAGCTTCCGAGGATCGATGGGAACTGGAACGTCTCCCTTGGTGTGAAATTTTGAAGACGCAATGTCCCTCTCGAGAAAGCACTGCCAGATTCAAGGTGAATCGCGCTTACGCAGAATGTAAAGAGTTTGGACATATTTGCACGGAGGCACATACACAGTACAATGGCCGCGGCGGAATGTTGTATTGTGTTTCTTGGATGCTCGCGCAGTGCCCTGTTTGTTGTGAGGCGCGTGCTGGTTGTTTTTCCCAGGAGCAGCATGTTGAAAGCCCCAGAAAGCAGTATGCATTGGCGCTTGAGGGCAACACTAGGCGTTCAGGGAATGGAAGTGCATCCATGAGCGCTACTTGTCCAGTCCTTCTCTACTTTTGCAAAAGCAACGCATCTCCAGGAGTTGCAGATGCTCGCGCCCGAAAGTTAAGCAAACAAAATAGCTTGCGAAAACGCCCCTGTTAGCAAACATCTAAGCACCGAGGCTTCCCCCCCCCCCCCCTTTTTTCTTTTTTTTTATTCTTCTTTTTCCGGAAGTTGTGTGCAAGGGGTTCAACTCCGGGAACAACGGGATACCCATCTCTGCGAGCTACTTAATGGTCCGTTTCGAGGATGGAGCGCAAGCAGAGCGCTCGGTCCTTCTTCTCGCAGCTGGGCCAAAAGCGGCTCACGGACGTGCCGCACTCGGCGCGGTGATCTCGAGGTGAGCAAAGCCGCAGAGTCTGGGCGAATGGCGACCTCAAGGGGCCAAGGGACGTCCATGCTGAAGTTTCCCTCTCGTGAATCATCATATTTTGCCCAGCTTCTGCGCCGCTTTGTGCAACACTTAGGAACATGTTAGGCACGAGACAGATAGGCAATATTGGTCCAATCCAAGAAAATCGATGATAACCATGTCTTTCCTTTGTTTCTCCCTCTTCATGTTTCGCGTTGCTTCTCTTTAGAATTGCACTTGTATGTACTTGTATTGAGCTGCCGCTTTCATATTGTTGGTGAAGTCAATGGACAGTTTCACCGCTTGAGCCACAATCAAAACCTGGGCAAATGAAGATTAGCAAGGGCAGTCGCAATCAAAAAAGGGCACGGCCTCCCTTTCAGTCTAAACATTAAATGAGATAAATCTCTTTAGTTTCAGGTTTTGATGATAACTCGCTTGCTTCATTGAAATGAAGCTGCACATGTCGGCAGGGCGTAATGATGCTCCGCCGGCAAGGGGCGCCAACTAAAACTGCGCAAGGCCTGCGGACAGAGCACGGACAAAAAGGAGACCGGGCTGTCCAGAGGTGACGGTGGAAATGGTTTCGTTTTTGGGGTGAACAGCGACGGGGGAGTCCCCATTCGAAGTCAAACCGTCTCATAGCAAAGGTTCAGTATTTGCTGTGCTGTTCGGCTTCTGGCAGGCAAGGGAAGCATCGCCTACCTCTATGACTTCAGCCCTCCATGAGGCGTGTAAAGTGAAAGCTGCGCTGCGCGTTCACCGAGTGCTTGCCACTTGACCCGATGTTATCAGCATCTACACCTGGCATGAGGAAAGCTGCTTCAGGAGCGTTGACGCAAGTTTCTTGCGTTTGAGATGCTGGACACGAACTGGCTGGTTCAAGGAAAGAGTCTGAGTCTCCAGAAACGTCGCATACTTTGTGTGTGGGTAAGTGCATCATGCTGAAGGTGCATGAGTGGTGCAAGGTGAAGTGCACAGCAGCATAGCAAGAGAGATCGAGAAACATTGGTCATTGCCGCTGAAGAAACCGTGTTTGTTCTCATCCGATTATCAAGCTGGCCGCAAACATGACCAGCTGGTTTCTACCTGATTCACACAACGGACACAGCAAATAGATATAGAAAAGAGCCGACAGTTTAATTCGCAGCACGCGCGCATGGCACAGAGACGACAATGCCTGCTTGGTGCAGAAGCGGATGCGGAGGCATGATGTCGTCACTCAGCTCTGCCATGTTTGTTGACATCCACGACAGATCTTGCAGGATCATTCATGATGCTCCACAGGTGAAGCAGGCAAACAGGGCGTCTGTAGACATGGCTTGCAGATGAGAATCCATGCGGAGCAGATAGCTTTCCGAGTCTCACGCTTTTTAGACAAGGGTCACGTCACGCAGATGAGTCGTACGTGGCAAGATTGACAATGAACCTATGGACAGTCGATGATGTATCACGTAGACCTGGAGGTGAAGCGCATGTGGCCAAGCACTTCGGACGTGCATAAACACGCCTATGCAGGATGGCCTGAATGAAGGAGGCAGGGTAACCCGGTGTGAGCAGTAGCAGCAGGGGAAGTCCGGCCGTCGAGATCACTCAAGTGGGCTTTTGATTCCTTGATCTTCCAAGTGCAGAGGTCAGGGTGCAGAGGTCGAGTGGAGCCCGTGTGACCGAGAGCTGTTTCTGCTCCCAAGCAATATTCTCGGACCATGAGAGCACCAATTCAGTCGCCAGAACTTGGCTTCCCTCGAAAGAGCGAGCAAGAAGGTGGCTCAGGCTAGCAGCATCCGACTCTTTGAGCGGCTCATGGCTGGTAAGGACAAGGAGGACAAAGCAGCTTGGCGGCAGCGAGACTTTTCTTTTGGGCTGGTCTCCAAAGGCGCAACTTTCAATTCGGTGGTTTTCATTCTGCTGCCACCAGTTTTCCGAAGAAAAAGAAGAAACAAAGCCCAGGAAGGGTACCTCAAGAAGAGCCGCGCGCTTCTCGTCCCGGCCGGTTTTTTTCTTCAGGAGACAAAGACGCCCAGCGCGGAGAAGCCGAAGGAAGTCTTGGGGTTTTCGGCTTTCGGGTCAATACCGTTTTGGGATCCCATTTTGGTTGGTAGGTGAATTCACCACCCATTTTAGGACCTATTTTAGTGGTTGGATTGAATCGGATGTTCACTGGGACGATTTGGATGACCCATGGCCAGTTTTGGTTCTTTCCATCAGAAGCCCGGGGACTGCCATATGCCGATGAACAACTGGAGCCTCCGAAATGTGGCGCTGGACTCTCGAAAACCCCGTTGGGAGGATGTCCACCGAAGAGTCTCCAAGGGAAAAAAGCAAGTAGCCATATTGTTTGTCTCGGGTTTGAGACGCAGCCTCACGACTTTGCTGGGCTGCCAGCGATGGAAGGGTTGAGGATAGATGTGCAGGCATGTCGTGGGAATACCCAGAGTTACCCTTTCTTGCCGTCGGCCTTGTGCGCCAAGTTTGATGCTTTGGAGCTAGCAGGCCACTCCCTTCTTCTAAGTGGTTCAGCATGGAAGCAGCCCCGCAAGGCCACAGATTTGCCATATGTACGCCATATTTCCACAGGCACACACACACACACAGACAGCAAGAACATGAAACGCTTTCCCTGACGCCAGGGCTCCAAGCGCTTTCTTGCCTTGCTGGGTGCAGTCCTGGTGGTGGGGCTGGCGCCTCGCCTGAGGGGTGCCGAAAATTGTCGCGATGTCGCGCGGGAGCACCACAAAACACTCAGAAAGGTTCTGTTGAGACAATTTTAGCACACTTCTATCAAGTATTACTTGACTTCAATAAGCGACGTCAATGTCGGTTCAACTAAGACTCCTAATAGATGCACCATCACCCAATGCGCGCAAGTACTCAGCAGAGTAGCCTTCCAACTGCAGAAATGAGATCGGTGGCTGCGGGAAGATTGGTGGCAAGTCTGAGGCGTATGCCTACAAGCAGGGCGGCAAAGAGGACCGAATGCTTCGGACAATCTCAGACCATACCTGCTGCGTTCAGGCACATTCATGCATCAGCCTTACCGGCTCAGCTTTCCAGGCAAGCTTTGTATGGCCAGAGACAATAGCCAGTTGCTAGAGGCAACTTGAGCTTCAAACCGTATAGATCGATACCATGCTGCAATTTTAACAGAGCACCCGTCAAAACAACACTGCTTGGGAACCTAGTTATTCATCTCGCGCTCCGGACGATTTGACATTTCCCCAAGTCCTTGTCGGAATTGCGTTTGAGCTGTTTGGGGATCTTCAGTGCCAGGAGCTCTTGCACTTCGTTCGCGGATCGCTCCTCTCGCTGCAGTCCTTGCGGAGCTATGGTCCTTTAGGGTGGGCCCGGGCACCAGAAGTTCAGAAGGTCAGACGGAACGGGCCAAGTTGGGCTGTCTTTGAAGTTCACGAGCGGCTTGACCCCTCCTGTCCTTGCCTTTGTACCATGAGATCAATCTGAGAAGGTGCGTGATCTATGGATGCCTTGCTTGGTTTGTCTGCCGCAGAGGTGGTTTTTGTGCTGGCGTTCATCGCCCAGCTCACTGTGTGCTTGCCAGGCACTATGGCAGGGGCCCAAAAGTGCCCACGACAGCGCCACAGACGAAATCACCAAACCACCAAGATGTTTCTAGCGGAAGACTGAACCATCAAATCCATGGAGTTCTCTCGATAGGCGCCGGCCAGACACCTTTCAAACTGCAGGGGCATTCCAACTGCTCTGGTCCTCCTCCTTTTTTGTAAGGGGGGGGGGTTGATCGAAATTGATGAGAGTTCTTGCAAGTTCAGGGCTTTGGGGAGCTGCCTTTTTTTGGCAACCTCCGAGAAATGACAAGGAAGCGCGTCCTCTTCTTTTGGGGGAGAAAGCCTCACAGGACCGTGGCGCAGAGTCTGCGCGTCCTGGGCTTTTTGCTTGTGAGAAGGCGACAGCCTTGTGTGACAGTGCTTTGGCTCATAGCTGGACATGTGGAATCCTGGCACATGGTCTGGGGCCGATTATGAGGCGAGCGCCCAGAGGTACGAAACCATTTCAGGAAAGGTGAGAAGGCCTTGAAGCTCAGCTATTGCGTGGCAACCTTTCCCCGGGCCAGTTTCCACAGAAAGTCTCACGATTGACCATGTCGTTCACCGTCAGCGTTGCCCTACTGAGCGGCCACTTGGCGAACGTGGAGGCCAGGTGAGTGTCGTGAGGGCATCGACTCATCACACGGGTTCACCATGAATGCCAACATGTTGTTACATTGCTCCGGAGAGCGGCAGCAAACACAGAGCGAACGACTAGCGCAAACGACCACAAAAGGGGAACATGAGTTGGTGGTTTGGAATGGTACTGCCACCACACACAAGCAGCCGGTGGGGCTTTGTGCTTCTGTGTTTCGCATGTGCATTTTGTGCCGCACAGATAGACCAGCACTCTGTGAGTGAGTGCCCTCTTCTGCAGGTGTTGCCTTCGCAGTCTGTCGAGGAACTCAAGCGCGCTGCAGCACAGGCTCGAGGGACAAACTTCGGATCTTCCAATCAGCAGTCTTGGCTAGTCGTTAGTTGACAAGGAGGAAAGACTGATGAGGCAAGCACAGCTTTGGGGATGACAAAAGCACCAAGAATCGGAAGTATCACTTGGCGCTGCGATGGACATGCCTGTGAGAGAGGAACGGGGAGGCATTGAGAGCTATTCAACATGTCTGTCGCTTTCCTTGCATTTGGCAGAATTCACAGGGCAGTATTGTGCAAAGCAATTGGCTCACATCCCCGAGGATGCTGCCACCTCTTTGCATTGGTCATGCCTCATCTTTGGGCTGAAGCATAGAGGCTGTCAATCCCCGCAGCCATGTTTGTTACTCACAGGTGTTGGGTCGTTTTTCTGCCCTGGCTCGTGTCCAGCAGGAAGAGGCCTAGCTGGATCTTAAACACTGCCATTTTTTGCCTGGCATTTGTTTGGTTCCGCCACCATTCTGGCTGGCTCGAGTTGGATGGCATGAGCAGGCTGAAGCTCAGTGTTACGAATTGCACAAACGACTTGTATCACCGATTTGGACGTATCAAAGATGGGGGGAACATTTTAAATGCGAACTGATTGCCAATTGCTCCCTGGTTTTGAGTTCTAAGTTCTGATCCCGCTAGTCCCAGCCCACTTTTCATCTCGTTCTTTGAGTTTTCGTCCGCGGAGGTCCTTGGCCGGCCGCTGACTGCGTTGGCTTTCCAAGGCGGAATGCCCAAAGCCCAAGACGAGACTGAGACTCTCTGCGCCTCCCCCCCCCCCCACCCCCCCCGAGATGTTGAATCTGCTGAATCCTGACAAGGGTTGCCTCGCATGCTGCGAGCTGACTGACCGGTTCAGCTCACGTTCGAACTAGGACTTGTGGTGCGATGACCGTCTCAGAGGCCCTTTCTGTTGATGGTACAAGTGTCAGCCTCTGCACGACCCATTCCCATTGGACTGGGGTCATTTTCATTTCTAGGGGTCAGAGTCAGAAAATGGGTTTGTTTCCCTTTAACCCATCAGGGGGCGACTTTGATGGTAAAATCATGAGGTCAGTTGGTTGATCAGTACGCCGCATATTTCCGTGTTACCCGTTGCTACGCTCACAACCTTGCTGCCACACACATTTTCCCTTGCGAGGGCGCCGGCTTTTAAGAGGAGACACCTTGAAGGACCGGCGGATTTGAGCACGGGAGGATTTGTTGCCTCCCCCCAGTTTCCATTTTTTGTTGGTATTGGTTTTTGTCCTGGACTCGCTTCCCTCGTCGTTTGTTTTTTTGCCGCTTGGGCAAAGCTTGGCTCATCTCGAAGTTTAGAAAAGTTGCTTCAGTTCTCAGAGTTTTTTCGGTTTCCAGGACGTGCTGGCTTCGACACTTGGCCACTCGAGAAAGCCCAACAGAACGACAGCCCCAGGAGCACTCCGAAAGCTTCCCTGGCCATGTCCTGGATCCTATGTCTAGCAGCCATGTCTGGACAGGTCATCCCAATGATCACCACAAACTGGTTGGCTTTGCCAATTTAGTTGGGGTTGTCAACCTTTGACGCTTGGACAAAACAGCAGCAGGACCTTGGTCTGCAAGATGGTGGAGTGGTCAGCGCCGTTGTGAGGCAGCCAGGTGGGACGCACGGGTAGGAAACAGGGGGGAATTGAACACGGGCTGAAAGATTCAAGTACGAGAGGAGCAGGGGCAGTGGGGGGTGGCATCTTCTCCTTTTCTTTTCTGCTTCTCTTTTCTACTCTCCTCCGCTGCCATTATCATCAACTTTTCTCTTCGACCTTTGCCTCCTTGTTGTGTTCAATGTTTGCCCATCTTCTCCCTCGTTTGCCCCAAGTTGCCTTCCCATCCTTTGTTGCGCTCTTTCCCTACCTTGGTGCAAAAATGATTGATTTGAGCTGCATGTGCATGGCCTCCCCCCCCCCCCCCCCGTTTTTCAGGTCTGAGTGAGGCCCTCCCTTGTCAAAACACGACTGCGACTTGATTGACGGCCGCGTTCGGACGCCGCTCGCGTTGCGGCAGGCTCGGTGCTGTGCGGGCACCGCCGCTCCGGCGCCTTCGCCGCGCTGAAGAAGGACGGCCTCGTGGCCACCTGGGGCCACCCGGACTGCGGGGGCGACAGCCGCAACGTCCAGGAGAAGCGCCTCGGTTTCGCCCGCTTTTGGCTTCGGTTTCGCCCGAGGAAGGGGAGATTTGCTGGTGCCATTTTTCGCGTGGTTGCATTTCTCGTTTCTTGTTTCATGGTTTCCTGTGTCGCCCGCAGGCGGTCCTGTTTTTTTGTGAGCTTGTCTTGTGAGCAACAGGTGCAAGTTAACATGCATGCAGCGTGGCTGCCAAGCGAATCAAGCGTTGTCTCAGTACATTGCGCTGTACTGACACTTTTCTTGAGCTTTGGGTGCAACTTGAAGTCCTTTGGTGTCTTCGGCTCTTCTGCCCATTCTTGCAAGTGCGTTTGCCAACTGGCTGAAGATTCGAGACATTCAGGTGGCAGTTTGCCTCATGTCCCTTTGTAGGACAGAGGGCACAACTGATTGAAACAATGACATGCTCTTTTTGCACGGGAACATACAGACAGGGCAGATGACTACAATTCAATGGTGTTTTGAATGTGATGTGAGTTCTTTTTCAGAACAAAGGGTAGGGTCCCAAATGGGGACATCTTGGCTCTGCTTTAGGCTCGTCAATGTGAGTCAGCTGTACGCATCTAGCTGCGCCTTTGCTGCCATCAATGAGGAGGCGCGGCCACCTCTGTCTCGCTAAGCAAGCAGTGGACATCCGATGATGGCTGTCATTCATTGCTGCGTATATTGTGGCTGTGTCCTTTGTTTCGTTGGGGCGGGGCAATACCCTTCTCGGAGCTAGCTGAAAGGAAACCAAAGGGAACAAACCTACTTTTGGAGGACTATATGGGTATGCGTCCAAGTTGAGAAGCCTCGTTTTGGATGGTTTGAAAGGGGTGAGAGGAAAGCAACTAGCTGAATGATTGGTTTCAAGCTTGTTCCAGGGTTTGCCGCCATCCCCCTTCTCGCTTTGTGCAGGGCGAAGTGATTGCCTGGGGAGATCCGGCCTATGGCGGCGACTGCCAGTCTGTTGCAAGCGAACTGACGGGGCCGGGTTGGGGAGAGTGAGAGTGAGCTCGGGTGACCAGGAATTTCAATGGAGTGTCCCAGTGTCCCCTCAAAAGTGGTGATGTGGACACACATCCTCAAGTGATGTTCACCTCAAGATTCGTACAAAGGTGTGATGAAAAATCCTACAAGAGGAATTCCCTTGCTTGATTAGGCAGCAATATTTGGCAGATAAACAACGTGATGGGGACGACAACAGTCATTCTGGTCTTGATGGCAGGCATGTGCAGCACATCCACGCCTCTCAACGTGCCTTCGCCGCAGTCAGGACCCGGGATGTTTTGGTTGCTCGCCAAGCGAACATAGAAGTCGCTTCGAGTCTGACACAGCCAACATGAATAAAACTAAAAGGCTTACGTTTTTTGTTTTGTTGTCTTCATACTTTTGGGCCTGCGGCCTCTAGCCGGCTACGCCTCTTTGAAGTTATACCACGTCATGTCATGTTTGTTGTATGAGAAACGCATTCTGTGCTGTGATATGGCTGGTTAGGTTATGCATTTTGCCCACTCCAACCCCAGATGATGCCGGGGATGCCAGCTTTCTGGGCCCCAGCCGGGCCCAAACCCAAAAGGTTCACATGGCATCGCGAGCGCGCGCCAGAGGCCCCAGAACGAGCAGCCCAAAAAGAACAGCTCGTAAGCCAGGCCGGAAACGCAAACGCAACAAAGCACCGTAAATAGCGGTGTTTTGTACTGCAGCTAGCAGGCAAATTGCCTAGCGGCGACATGCTACCCCAGGAGGCGTAGCCGGATTTAAGGGCCGCCGACCCCAGTAAAAGTGTCGGCCTATTGAAAGAGCGAAGTGCGGTGAAGAGTACGATTCTGCGCTTCGTGCACCCATCACCGAGACACGAGTTGCTTGGGCATGGGGGGCGCGAACTGGCAATGGTTGATTTCACTTTGCCAATTGAAACCCTCCTTGGCGTCGTTGGAGATGCAGGGGATGCTACGATGATCAGGGAGGCCTTCGGGCAGGTCAACCTGGCAATGGATGCTCAGGTGATGCTGACGGCGGCACTAGCAGCAGTCATGATAACAATCATGATGACGATGGTGCTAAGAATGAGGATCATCATGATGATGAGGATGATAAGAACCATCGTAGCATCCCCTGCATCTCCCTCGATGCCAAGGTCCCTTACCAGGTTGACCTGCCCGGAGGCCTCCGAGCAAGTCAACCATTGCCAGGTTGACCTACCCGGTGGTTAACTCTCCAGTTGGGCACGATCACACTGGCGCAGCGCGACTACGCATCCCCAGCATCTCCAAGCAACGATGATCATGATGATACTCATCGCTACGCATCCCCAGCATCTCCAGCAGCGATGATGATAGTCATCACTACGCATCGCCAGAATCATCATTCTTAGTGTCATCGTCATCATCATTGCTATCATGACTGCTGGTGATGCTGACGGTCATCATCATGCCTTTTTCTCTTTCTCTCTTTATATATACTTTTCAACAGTGGCCTTAGGCGCAGTTGGAGATGCAAGGGATGCTACGAAGATACGTATCCTTGCAGGATGCTACGATGATACTTATCGTCGTGGGTTGCGTGCCAGCGTGATCGTGCCCAGCTGGAGGGTTGACCTGCCCAGAAGAGGCTTCCGGGAAGGTCAACCTGGCAATGGTTCTTCTTGCCTCGGGCAGGCCAACCTGGAAATGGATCCTCAGGGTGATGCTGACGGCATCAACAGCAGTCATGATAGCTGACGATGATACAAAGAATGAGGATCACAATGATGATGATGATAAGTATCATCGTAGCATCCCCGGCCTCTCCAGCGTTTGAAATGTCAATATAAAGAAAGAAACCATCAACATCGCCAACAGCAACCATGATCATGATTGCCTTGACGATAACCATCACTACGCATCCCCAGCATCTCTAGCTGGGATGATGATAGTCATTATTACCCATCCCCAGCATCTCCAGCAGCAATGGCCCTGATGATGACCCTCGCTACGTATCCCCAGCATGTCCAACAGCGAGGACGCTAATCATCGCCCGAAACAGGGGCAGCCAAGGACCCAGTCCGATATGTGTCACCCATGGAAACAGAGGCAGCAGCAGTCCACGGCTGTCCATCTTCTGCCACAAGCTGAACCGACTGAGGGGGAAAGCAAGTAGTAGGCAGTTGTTGGACCCCCACCTGCTGCAGCCTCCCGTCCATTGGAACACCTGCGCCTTCCTCGGAGCCAGGGTGCACTCGGAAACAGTCACATAAAAAGGGGGGGAAGCTGAGCCAAAGGTGAAACACATTGCCACAAAAACGAAAATCCAATACATAGTGTCATGCAGCATGAGTCATCACATGCAAAACTCTCAGGAACAGCATCTCCGGCAGCGCTGGTGATTTTCATCACTACGCATCCCCAGCATCTCCAGCAGCGCTGATCATGATGCTGACGATGATGACCATCACTACGCATCCCCAGCATCTCTAGCAGCGATGATGATAATCTGCGCTATGCATACCCAGCATCTCCAGCAGCGATGATCATGATGATAAGCATCGCTACGCATCCGCAGGATCTCCAGCAGCGATGATGATAATCATCACTACGCATCTCCAGCGTCTCCAGCAGCGATGATCATGATGGTGATAATCAAAGTATCATCGTAGCAGCCCCTGCGTCTCCAACGACGTCGAGGATAAGTATCATCGTAGCATCTTTTGCGTCTCCAACTGTGCCGAAGGCCACTTTTGCAGTGTATGTGTAGACAAAGGACGTCCGAGATGCTGATGGCCATCAGCATCTCCAGCAGCAGTCATGATCCGATTGTCTTGGTGGAGCCATCACTACGCGTCCCCAGCATCTTGAGCAGGTCATCGTTACGCATCCCCAGCAGCGACGATCATGATGATGAGAATCATCACTCACCTCCAGCAGCGATCATAATATTCATGACTACGCATCGCGTGCACCAGCATGATCGTGATTGCCTTGATCACTACGCATCCCCAGTATCTCTAGCAGGGATGATGATAATCATCACTGCGCATCCCCAGCATCTCCAGCTGGATGATGATAATCAGCACTAGGTCAGCCTGGTAGTGGATCCTTGGCATCGTTGGAGATGCAGGAATGCTGCGACGATACTTTGCTTGTCATCATCATGATCATCGCTGCTGGAGATTCTGGGGATGCGTAGTGATGATTATCATCATCCTTGCTAGTGATGATTATCATCATCCGAGATACTGGGGATGCGTAGTCATGGTATACACATCGCTGCTGGTGATGCTGATGGTTATCATCATTTCTTTCTTTCTTTCTTTCTTTCTTTCTTTCTTTCTTTCTTTCTTTCTTTCTTTCTTTCTTTCTTTCTTTGTAGACACATTTCAGAAGTGGCCTTAGGCACAGTTGGAGACGTGAATGATGATAACCATTATTGCGCATCCCCAGCATCTCCAGCAGCGATGATCATGATGATGATCATCACCACCACGCATCCCCGGCATCTCCAGCGGCGATGATGATAATCATGACCACGCGTCGCTTGCATGATTCTCGTCATCGCCTGGATGATAACCATAACCACGCATCCCCAGCATGCCCAACAAGGATGATGATAATCATCGCTACGCATCCCCAGCATCTCCAGCTGGATGATAATAATCATCACTACGCCGTCGCTACGCATCCCCGGCATCTCTAGCAAGGATGATGCGACTCCCCAGCAGCGATGATGATAATCATCACGGCGCTTCTCCAGAATCTCCAGCAGCGATGATCATGATAATGCAAATCATCACTACGCATCCCCAGCATCTCCAGCAGCGATGATGATAATCATCACTACGCATCTCCAGAGTCTCCAGCAGCGAAGATCGTGATGATGACAATCAAAGTATCGTCGCAGCATTCCCTGCATCTCCAACGATGGCAAGGATTCACTACCAGCTTGGTAGGTCAACCGTCCAGTTGGGCACGATGACCCCAGCGTCTTCAGCAACGATGATCATGATGCCACGCTGATCATGATGATTATCATCACTACGCGTCCCCACCATCTCCAGCAGCGATGGTCATGACAATGATGACCATCACTACGCATTTCCAGCATCTCCAGCAGCGATGATGATAATCATCACTACGCATCCCCAGCATCTCGAGCTACGATGACCATGATGATGATAACTCCAACTGTGCCTAAGGGCGCTATTGAAATGTATAGAAAAACAAAGACCGACCATCAGCATCACCAGCAGCAGGAGTCATGATAGTGATTGCCTTGATGATAACCATCACTACGCATCCTCATCATCTCTAGCAGCGATGATCTTGATGATGATAATCATCATTATGCATCCCCAGCATCTCCAGCAGCGATGATCATGATGATGAGGATAGTCATCAGGATCTCCAGCAGCGATGATCATGATGATGACAATCAACGTGTCGTCGCAGCATTCCCTGCGTCTCCAACAATGCCAAGGATCCATTACCAGGTTGACCTGCCCGGAACCCTCCAAGCAGGTCAACCATTGCCAGCTTAACCTCTTAACCTACCCGGAGGCTTCCGGGGAGGTCAACCCTCCAGTTGGGCACGATCACAATGGCGCAGCGCAACTACGCATCCCGATCATGATGATAATCATCAGTACGCATCCCCAGCTTTTGCGTCATGGTTATCATCATGGCAATCACGATCACAACTGCTGTTGGTGATGCTGATAATGATCATTGTTTGTTTATAAACACACCTCAACAGGGGCTGTAGGCACAGTTGGAGATGCTGGGAACGTGTAGTGATGATTATCATCATCATGATCGTCGCTGCTGGAGATGTTGGGGCTGCGTAGTGATGATGATCATCATCATGATCATCGCTGCTGGAGATGCTGGGGGTGCGTAATGATGATTATCACCATCATAATCATCGCTGCTGCAGATGCTGGTTCTGCGTAGTGATGACTATCATCATCCCCTCTAGAGATGCTCTGGGATTCGTAGTGGTGGTTATATCAAAGCATGACTTCTGCTGGTGATGCTGATGGTCATCATCATCCATTTCCGTCTTTGTAAATACATTTCCAAAGTGGCCTTAGGCATAGTTGGAAACGCCAAACATGCTACGATGATACTTATCCTTGACGTCGATGGAAACGCAGGGAATGCCACGACGATACTTTGAGTATCCTCATCATGATCATCGCTGCTGGAGATTCTCATCATCGCTGCTGGAGACGCTGGAGATGCGTAGTGATGATTATCATCATTGCTGCTGGAAATATCATCGCTGCTGGAGATGCTGGGGATGCGTAGTGATGATTTTCAGTATCATGATCATCGCTGCTGGAGATTCTGGAGACGCGTTGCGATGATTATCATCATCGCTGCTGGGGATGTTGGGGGCGCGTAGTGATGATTATCATCATTATGATTCGCTGCCAGAGATGCTGGAGATGCGTAAAGAAGATTCGCATCATCCTTGCTAGAGATGCCGGGGATGCGTAGGTCAACCACGGCCAGGCTAAACCGCCCGGAAGCAGCCGGGCAGGTCAACCACGATCACACTGGCACAGCGCTCCCGCAACGATGATCATGATGATAATCATCACTACATCCCTAGCATCTCCAGCAGCAAAGATGATAATCATCACTACGCATCTCCAGAATCACCAGCAGCGATGATCATGATGATCAAAGTATCGTCGTAGCACCCCCCGCATCTCCAACGATGCCAAGCATACGTAGCATCGTAGCATCCTTAGCATCTCCAACTGCGCCTTCGGCCACTATTGAAATGTAAATACAAAGAAGGAAAGAAAGGGATGATGATGACCATCAGCGTCACCAAAAGCAGTCATGATCATGATTGCCTTGATGATAGCCATCGCTACGCATGCCCAGCGTCTCTAGCAGGGATGATGATAATCATCACTATCATCCCCAGCATCTCTAGCAAGGATGATGAGAATCATTACGCATCCCAATTTTTTCGGCAGCAATGATCATGATGATGATAATCATCGCTACGCAGCCCCAACATCTCCAGCAGCGCTGGTGATACTCATCACTACGCACCCACAGCATCTCCAGCTGCCATGATCATGAGGATGAGTACACTACGCATCCCCAGCATCTCCAGCAGCGATGATGATAATCATCATTACGCATCCCCAGCATCTCCAGCAGGAAATGATCATGATGACGATAACCATCACTACGCAGCCATTTCCAGCAGCGCTGGTGATAATCATCACTACGCATCCACAGCATCGCCAGCAGCTACCATCACTACGCATTTCCAGCATCTCCAGCAGCGATGATGATAATCATCACTACGCATCCCCAGCATCTCCAGCAGCGACGACCATGATGATCATCAGCATCTCCAACTGTGCCTAAGGCCACTTTTAAGATGCGTGGTGGTCATGACTACGCATTGCTTGCATGTCAAGCCAGCTGTATCGGCGCACTGAAAGACTTGAAAAGACAAATCATGATGAGGATCATGCGGATCATGCTTGTGATTGCCTTGATGGTAACATCACTACGCATCCCCAGCATTTCCAGCAGCGATGATCATGATGATGATAATCGTCGCTACGCATCCCCAGCATCTCCAGCAGCGATGAGTATGTATCATGGCTACGCTTTGCTTGCATGTCAAGCCATCGCCCTTCCCGCGCGCTTTCCCCTTTGAGGGTCGGCGGATTCCTCAAGAATCTACAGGAGAATTTCGCCCCAAAACCCCCCAAACCGGCTGTCTTCCTGTCGAAAACTCCCGTCTTGCAAGCCTTTGCTCGTGGTTTCTGGTCCTTCCCTCCGCCTCTTCACCGCCTTCGCCACGCCATGCGTCTTCGGCTCTCAGCTCGTCGGCAGGACGGACGGGCGCGTGGTGGCCTGGGGCTCCGGCCTCTGCGGCGGGGACTGCAGCGCCGTGCAGGCGCAGCTCTACCAGGCGCCGAGCAGTGCGGTGTGCGGGACGCGAAGCGGACGCGCGGAAGAAGCGCGGGGTCGGTTTTGGCCACTGAGAACCTCGGTTTCGCGGTTTTTCGGTGTTTCGGTGGGTCCCTCCGGCCAGATGTTCGGTCAAATTGTGGGAGAAAGACGAAGTTGGCAATAAAACCGGCGCAAACAGACCTTTCAAGTCTGGAAGTAGCAGTTTTGGGTAGGCAAAGCGACATTGGGGGGCAACTCAAGGCTGCAAGCAACTTGCCACGTCCAAATTTTCCGCTCAGTCCTGCAGGTCAAGAGCTTGGTAGCCACGCACCGGGCCTTTGCAGCACTGCGCCCCTTGGAAAATACTCTTACGCTATGTGCGCGCGCCTTCCCACCGAGTAGGCAGAATTGCTGATTTGCTTTCAACGCCTTGTTGGAAGGGGTGATTTGCACAGGGCATTGCACTAATCCCTTTTTCGAGGCAAGGCAAAGGCCGTCAGCAGGCGACGCCACAGCTGTCTGTTTGTCTGTTTTTGTTTCTTTCTTTCCTTCCTCCCTGCCTTCCTTTCTTTCTTTCTTTCTTTCTTTGTTTCTTTCTTTTCTTATCCCTTTCTTATTCTCCGAGGCAGAAGCAGCAGCAGCGACAGCACCAGACTCGTTGAGCTATGCTCTCTATGCTGAAGAAAACAGTCACAACGCTCACAACACTCATACATTTGAATGCGTCAACATAAGTATATACACAACTGTCTAGCATACATGTAGAACGTAAAGAGGAATATTAGTATTACGCAAAGTGAATAGTACATATCCATACAGGACATGGTTAACTAACTTGAGCAGCGAATCGGGCAAGTGTTGTTGGCCGAGGCTATGACGGAGCAGTCATCACCTGGGGCCATGCTCAGTGCGGCGGCGACAGCACCGCAGTAAAGAGCCAGCTCGTTGATGTGCAGGCAGGTGGGCGAGTGCCTTGCTCATGAGACCTCTCTAGCAATTGGCTAGAACGTCGTGTCAGATCTGCCCCAACTCGGTTGAGAGCTTCAGCGCATGGATTTGGCCCGGCAAGGAGGTCTATGCCACTGAGACGGCCTTTGCTGCTTTGAGGAGCGGGTCAGCAGACCATAGCTGCCTTACACCAGCGAATCCAGGCTTCTGATTTGATTGGCAGATGTGAGTCCAAGCCCTTTGGGCAGCCCATTGGGAAGATTCCGAGTGGCAACATTCTTCACAGAAGTGGCAGTAGACTTCACAGCAGAAGTGAGCTAAGAACACTTGCGAGCCACGGAAAATGACGACCCAACAGAAATATATGTGTACGTATGAAATACTAAGCATATGTCTCAGTTGTTTTATGTAGACATAAACATATGTATGTATATGTGTAGCTCTCTCTCTCTCTCTGTGTATATATATATATATATACACATGATATTATATGCATGCCATGCAGTGACATTCTTGTATATTCGGTGGTGCGCCCTTGGGTGGAGGTCTCGCACAGGTGCCATGTTGTTGCCAGTCTATCAAAGTCCCAGTCACATTCTTTCACACTGTTGCAAAGCTTGGTGCATTGAGTCATGTGCAAGGCTCGCCCATGGCAAATGCCATTTGTGTGGTTTCACCTTTCTTACTTTGCTCCTGGTGCCGGCGCCCGCCCTTGCTAGGAGCGATGGCAAAGTGGTTGCCTGGGGCGATGTGCTGTGCGGCGGGGAGGTTGGCAGCGCGCGCGACCGGCAGCTCGGCGACGGGGTCAGTGGTTCTGGGGGTAGAGCACCATGTGGCTGGAGGTGCAGTCAGCTAGGGCGGGGTGCAGTGAGACCGTGAGACGGCCATGGGTCAAAAATATGTACCCAAAATGGAACCCTGGTAAATGGAAACTTGGACTACAACCTGCGGTCCCCTGGTCGTTTAATTTTGACCCACACCCAGACCTTGCCGTGCACCAAAGGGAGGGGGAAGGTGACGAAAGAATTGATGCCTAGGCGCACCCAGCCACTAGTCGCTGTAGCATGTTTGATACGTGACCAGAGCTGATACACGCCCCAACAGACTAGATTGGGGATCAAGCGTCCTTCCATGATAGCAAGTACCCTTGGATTGGATAGCATCTCAGCTCAATGTTGTCCCACCAAGCCTCTCAGAGGTGCCTCAAACAAGCATTGAATTTGATTCACCAACTGAAACCATCCATGCTTTGGACGAGGAACACGTTTTGCGGTTTTGACAGATTTGGCAACAGAGAGATGCCAGGCTTGACAATGTGTCTGCCATCTATACGTCCAACAAAGCCTTTGCCGCTGTCAAGTACGATGGCACTGTGGTGACGTGGGGCAAGGCCTGGCCAAACAAGCTACAGCGTTGATTCGGCTCATTTCGTCTTTGGGGAACATTTGATCATTTAGGCCACAGTTCAGGCGTACGTGTGGGTTCTACCAGAGCGGGCAACAAATGGTTTGGCGACCCGTTGCGGATTTACATCTTTTCCAGGCCATCTCCGGTGGGGACTGCAGCGCTGTTCAGGACAAGCTGGTGGTACCTTGGTGCTAGAAGGCTTTTGGACCACTCAGGGGGCATTTTGTTGGGCCCGGACTCATGACCCTTGCAGTTCTATAGGAGGGTGTTATCCAAAGTGAAGGACTTCTCGCTGAGATTTTTACAAGACAATTCGAAGACACAGTCGCTTTGGTTGCATGCCATCACAGCATGTGTATTTCATTTCATATGTGTTTCGATGTCAACATCAAATGCATCTGATTAAGCTCTCAACACAACTAAATAGTTGCCCTGGTAAAGACATCTTGAACTTGTTGAATGTGGCATGTCCCAGGAAAAGTGAGAAGATTCCAAGACAGTCAAAGCTTCAACTTTCGTTTTGTAGTGAAGATGCCTGACAATCCCAAGCGGAATGTGCGCTGCTGGCAGCAAACTCATTTCTGGGATATCACAGCAACCCACGTCAACTGCTTTCCGCACGTGAGAAGAGTAGATGGCCCATGTCACGTCGCCGCGCGGACGGCCCAGGATGTGCAGCACATCTACTGCGGCCATGCTATGGCCGCCTTGCGCGGTGATGGCTCCGTGGTGACCTGGGGCCACAGCCAGTTCGGGGGCGACAGTCGGGACGTGCAGGACCTGGCTGCACCTGGAACCACAGGGTTTTTCCAGCTGCGAAATGGGAAGATCTCGGCAAAGAAATTCCGTGCTCAAACCTCAGAGTTTGGGGGGGGGGGGTTCTCCGATTTTTCCGTGTCCCAAGGAACCGTTGGGATTGGGAAAATCTGGGCAGACCTCGCCCGAAATGAAGATTTGGGTTTGGGAAAGGGAGCCTTAGGACCAGCTCTTGGACGTCCAGCAGATTTTCGCCACCGACGCGGCCTTTGCGGCGTTGAAGACCGACGGCTCGGTGGTCAGCTGGGGCCATGGGGAGTATGGTGGGGACAGCAGCAAGATCCAGGACATCGACAGATCCGTCGGTTCCGTGTGCTTGGAAGCCGTTTGGCTTCGAGCGAGCGACTTTGGTTTGGATTCTTCGTGTCTTGCATTCAATGTTGATAACCTCCCCCCAATAAATTGCTGCGTCGAACAGACACTGTGCGCTATCGCAAAGGCAAAGGCTGATAACCTGTTGCATTTCGCCCCCTGAATGCAGCTTTTGCGTTGCCCTGAGGACCAGCTCACAGCCATCCAGAGCATCCAGGACTGGGAGCCTTGTCACCTTTTGGGGGTTTTGAACATGGGGCGACCTCCAAGATTGTCGGGTTCCGAACATCCGCCGACCTTTTTGCGAGCCGACCCAGAGGGCTTCAATACCTGCTTGGCCGCGAAGATCGCGTGCGCCTGGCAGGCAACCTCCGCAGCCTTCGCAGCCTTGCGGCAAGATGGCACGGTGCTCACCTGGGGTTTGGCCCACAAAGGTGGCGACAGCTCTTCCGTGCAGGAGAGCGGGTGTTTGCTTTCCCCACGCTTCAAACGGCCAGCAGCTTTCAGTGTTCAACACATCTTTTGTTTGCTATACAGGGTGTGATTGACTTTGCGGTAGACGTAGGTGTTGTGTTTCGCCTTTGTGGATCCTTAGCTCCTCATGCCTGCATCATGAGTCTACTGCTACTGCTGCTGCCGCTGCTGCTAACACTACTATTGCCAACTTGCTATTGCTATTGCCTTTACTATTATTAAACCAACCACCACCGCCACCACCGCCGCCACCCCCACCCCCACCCCCCCACCCCACCCCCACCACCCCCACCACCACCACCACCACCACCACTTTCACCACCACCACCACCACCACCACTTTCACCACCACTTTCACCACCACTTTCACCACCACTTTCACCACCACTTTCACCACCACTTTCACCACCACTTTCACCACCACTTTCACCACCACTTTCACCACCACTTTCACCACCACTTTCACCACCACTTTCACCACCACTTTCACCACCACTTTCACCACCACTTTCACCACCACTTTCACCACCACTTTCACCACCACTTTCACCACCACTTTCACCACCACTTTCACCACCACTTTCACCACCACTTTCACCACCACTTTCACCACCACTTTCACCACCACTTTCACCACCACCCCACCACCACCACCACCACCACCACCACCACCACCACCACCACCACCACCACCACCACCACCACCATCGACCGCGACCGCGACTGCGACCAAGACAGAGACAGCGACAGCGACAGCTACCGCTACTGCTACCGTTACCGTTACTGCTGCCGCTACCGTTACTGCTACCGCTACCGTTACCGCTACCTCTGCCGCTACCCGCTACCACTACTACCACCACCACCACCACCACCACCACTTCTGCTACTGCTACTGCTGCTGCTACTGCTGCTGCTACTGCTACTGCTACTGCGACTGCTACTGCTACTGCTACTGCTACTACCACTGCTACTGCTACTGCTACTGCTACTGCTACTGCTGCTGCTGCTACTGCTACTGCTACTGGTACGACTACTGCTACGACTACTAGTGCTGCTACACGTGAGGTGTGAGTTTTCCTACATGGTTTCGTGGCAAGCGATTGCGTTTTGCAGGACAGGGGCACTCTAAGGCACTTTGGGGGTTTATTTTTTGCAGAAACTTGGAACGGACTAAACCCCCCGAGCACTGGGCTTCCAATGCTTTGTGCAGGGCTTGGGAGCAAGGACCAGCTGCAGAACGTGGAAGAGATCGCCAGCTCCTACGGAGCTTTCGCTGCTCTCCGGAGCGATGGCGTGGTCGTCACCTGGGGCGACGCCAACTATGGTGGTGCCCCTTGGGCTGAGGTAGCGCCACCACTCCACTGGAGAAATGCATCGTTTGGGTATCCCGCTTTCCCACGAAAATTGTTTGTGCAAATTTTGGGCGCGGCCAGTTTTCGCAATCTGAAACTCTTCAAGAGTGGGCAAAGTGTGAGTTCCTTGGATTCCCAAGAAAGGCTGCTACATGGGCTTGTTGGATTTCTGCAACATGGTTTTGGAGCATGCATTGGTATGCCGCATCGGTGAAACTCATCAGTCTGCAGGTCTCATCTTTCAAACAATTGGACAGTAGTTTTTTCAGCTTTTTGAGGACAAGTGCAGGTGAGTACTGGAGCGGGGGGCATTGTTTGAGGTCACTAGCAAGAGGCCCGCAGATGCTTTGGCTAGGACAGCGCACCGGTGCAACCGTTGGTCGTGGAGAAGTTCTGAAGGGGGTGCGCCTTTGGGCTTTGGAGAACCTGATGAGGCCACTTTGTTCCCAGATGTTTCCGCACTTGTCCCTAAAATCGCTTAGCATTTTCACAATGTGTGAACAGTCTTGGCAAGTCTCATAGGGCCTCCTCTTTGGGGAATCTTAGCAGTTACGGCCTTAGGAACTACCAAAGGGGACGGACCCGTGACTGTATTCGATTCAAATTGGAGGCGCAGAGACCTGCAGATCTGCATGCCAGGATGTTCAGGGTGCAATGCGCCTGGGCTTGGGGAACCTGGCATCCAGCCGCGCGCTTTGTGCGCGCTTGTTGAAACAGCCCTTTGCGGCCTTCATGCAGCGCACGTAAATTGGCCGGCATCGCAACCTTTATTTGCTTTAGATCTAAGGGTGAAATGCACCAATCTTCCTGTCCCGCACGATTTGGCCAAAAAGCGTTGGAACGCGTTCCTCGCTCTGGAGGACTAAATCTGCACTCTGGCAGTGGCACTGATCTTTTTCAACTTGCAGCCATGTCAGGATTGCAACACGTACCAAATAGGCTTGCAGGAGACGTCAGCCCAAACGGCAAGATTCTTTTGCTGCCTAGGGACGAGTCGCACCCTGTGCATGAATGGCGGCTGGTCCCTGCCACCTCACCTTTTGTGTGTGGGAACCTTTCTCGTCACTCCCGTTCCAAGTTTCTGTGCCGTGCCATGTGCGGTGTGTGTGCAAAGCATAGCAGGCCGCAGAGGGATGCCGCGGTTTGCTGCCACGCGAGATTGTGTCGGCGGTGGATTTAAGAGAATCTGACGCGAGTGAAGGTGCCAACCCTTCGCCACGCTGCCAACACTATTTCATTTATCGATGGGCTGACCATCACGTTCCTGATTCTGTTGAAGTTGGTAAGCAGTCTTGAACAAGGATCGGCCCATCCCCGTGGCAATCTTCCAGGCAGTGTTTAGCTGCACTGATGCACGAAGAGTTCGAATTCACTGGAAAGCCCTTGTGGGAAGGGAGGTAGAAGCCCATAGCCCCTCGCTGGTGGCTGTGAAAGAGTTGTGTGTGCCCCCTAGATACAATGTTTATGCACGTAGAATATATACATATATATATATATAAAGAGTTGTGTGTGCCCCCTAGATACAAGGTTTATGCACGTAGAATATATATATATATATATACACAGACATGCACATATATATATATATATATTTATAAACATGATCATCCATGCTTACCTGGGCATATTGAAGGGGACATCAACTACTTTGTCTGGCCAAGTTCAAGCTCGTGCCAGTCAACTATCTCCGCGGGCATCTAGCAGCATTTCCAGGCGGTTCTTTTGAAACCAAAGGGACGCTTCACTGGATTTGGGGTTTCCATCAGGCGCTTCCAGCGTCTCACAAGGGCTTTGGAGGGGTGTCGTTCCGCTCTGGCAAAGAGTTCCCCGAGCGCCTGGGGGTGCCGTGCACCTCCAGAGTCGTCATCGTCTGGATGTGGCTGTAGGTCAAGAACAGGCTAACCCCAAAATGGAAGCCTAAGTGGGAAGCTGAACTAAAACCTGCAAGTTCCAGGTGCAATTTTGACCCATACCCATGTCGAGACTGTTTGGCGAAGGCCCTCGTTGGTCGAGAGTACATGCGGCCAATTTGGCTGCCGGAGGTGCGATTGCTGTGGATGAGGCTTGTGCGTGTGAATTGCATGCCGGGCACGTGCCACAAAACGGATTGCACTGTTCCAAAACGATCTTAGTGCATCCTGGCGCTTCACAGCGTGACTGAACAGGCTTTTGCTGCCACAGAGCCAATGCCCTCCTATTTTTGCATACATACATCTCCAAGATTTGTTCAAAGTGGCCGAAATGAATGACTTTCTTTTGCAAGCAAGGCTCGAGGCAGCGGTTGCAAGAATCCAGCAACGATTTTGCGCAACGTTTCGTGGGTCAAGATGGGTCTATGTCTACTTTGCGCAGCATGCAAATGTGGACCTGACGCAGGAAGGCTCTTGTGCCAAATGAACTTGGTTGACGTTCACCAGTGGATCTGAAGACCAATCTCTGTGAATTGTATGCTCAAAGATGCTCAGAAACATCATGCCCACCCTGCACGCTCGCTGGTCAAGCTCGTTCAGCACCATCTTTCCGCTGGTCCAGCTGCAGCTCTCTGAATCAGTTCGATCCCAACAATGTTTCTTCTGCCCCACACAGACACACACACACACACACACACACACACACACACACACACACACACACACACACACACACACACACACACACACACACACACACACACACACACACACACACACACACACACACACACACACACACACACACACACACACACACACACACACACACACACACACACACACACACACACACACACACACACACACACACACACACACACACACACACACACACACACACACACACACACACACACACACACACACACACACACACACACACACACACACACACACACACACACACACACACACACACACACACACACACACACACACACACACACACACACACACACACCACACACACACACACACACACACACACACACACACACACACACACACACACACACACACACACACACACACACACACACACACACACACCACACACATACGCACGCACGCACGCACGCACGCACGCACACGCACGCACGCACCCACCCACCCACCCACCCACCCACCCACCCACACACACACACACACACACACACACACACACACACACACACACACACACAACAGGCCCTTCGAGCGTTGCATTTGCATCATGCTCTTCCAATACGCCGGACTAGACAAGGCAAGATGATGGTGCAGCTGCGTAGTGATGCCAAATTGGGATTTCGCTTGAAAAAGGCGCGCATGGGGCTCAAGACCAGCCAGTCACCGCAACAATGCAGAACGCGGCATCATCGCACAAGCAAATTGCAGCTTCAAGGCTTCATTGCAATGTTCTCAAGTACAGGATAATTCGGAGCTAGGTTGCTGATGTATGGAACTTGGCCAGTTGGCGCAGCCGTCCAACTTCCAAATATGTTTCTTGTGGATCCAGCGCAGACTGCATCAAGGTCGTGGATGTGGCATTGGGGAACATCTATGGTCTGCCTGCCCTGTGGCGCTTCGTGTGTCTTTGAAAGCGCGGTTAGAAATGGAAGTTGCGTTGTTGTGCTTTGAATGCTTCCCGGCTGAGATGCGAGCCAGGCTCCCCAAGTTTTTCTCTGAACCTTATCATGATTTGTGGAACATGTCAATCAGTGAGTATTTTGGCAATTGAGAGACTTGCCAGAGCTTTCGTTGCTTCGTCGCCGTCCTGTTGCACAAGTGATATCTCGCAAATTACAGAGTTAGTCAGGCAACACCGTTGGGCCTGCTACCTTTGGGTTTGTAGTCGGGAAAGAACCAGGAAGAAGGAATAGGAGCAGGGGCGAGGTGCTTGTTTCGGTTCAATCACGGGTCATCTTGAAATGTCAGGTGCAGTGCTTGGCACGGCAGCTAGCGTGCTGGCAAAGACCATTAGCGCAGCTTGGCGGGAATGAGACCAGTCTGTGAGGCAGTGCAGAGCGGTTGACAGTCGAGGGCAGTTAGTTTGCATTTTGGCCTCTCACGTTGCTTGTTGTTTGCTGGGAGGTCATCGATTGAATCAATCGGTTTTAAACGCGTGCTAGAGGTTTCAACCACGTGTGGGCGCGAAATGTTGCACGCAAACACAGCCTTTTGGTGGTAGCAACCATTCCGACAGCCTGTCCCTTCTTTACAACGGCAAACTTTGTTCCCCAAAGCGCACAGCATACCCAGGCTTTGCTCAGCCTTGTCCTTGGCCGCTTGGTTGCATGTGGATCAACAGCCGGCTTGGGTCCTCTGGTTTTGGGGGCTGGTTGCTGAAGCTGCAGTCATAGAATTGGGAGATAGCGCGCTGGATCAGATGGCCAGGTGGCCATCTCAAACATGACCTGCGGGATCAGGGGAACCGGCATCGGGTGGCTTTGAACGCTCATTCCCAAGACGTGTTGGCTGCAGTCAGTGCTGAAGGTCGATCCTTCGGCAAGGCAAGGGCACGGGCGATTCGTATTTCGTGGGAGGCATAGCTGATATCCCCTAGCTGGCATCTCTTTTGCGCCGCAAAACGTCCCATTAGGGAGGAGAACCATCATGTTGGCTGCACCATCTTGCAGGACGTGTGCTTGTTCATGATGCTCAAGCCGTGCTTGGCTCGTTGCATCGCAACAGAGCATTGGGGGGTTTGCTGCGTAGATTGTGCTCAGCAACTAGGCGCCCACAAGGGCCAGGCCGCTAGAATCGTGCAACATGTTAGGCAATCGTTCATTTTCACAAAAAGGCTTGCATTGAAGGAATCCCTATCCGCCACCTCGGTCATGCATGTCTTTCAGGCATATGTGCAATATTGGTGTCTTCAATGTGTCTCCAATAGAATCAACACTCATTCTTTGTGATTTTGACGTGTTCAGGTCTAGATTCTTCAATATACACATTTGATTCTCAACCAGCAGGTGACGCAGCCAACGAACAGAAGCCAGTGCGTTTTTTTTTTTGCCGGAGACCAGACAAGCGCGTTGTGTAGTCTGATAGAAGAAACACTGATTCGTAGGTCAAGTCTGGCTGCTGGGAATGGGATGACATCGATGCTGTTTGCTGAGCAAAAAGAAACACACGAACAGAGCCCTGCTTGCCTGGCCTGGGGACTTGACATCTTCCTCGATCCTTTTTCGCTTGCCAGGCTTTGGGCCTGGAGTTCCCTGAATCCTTGCAGCGGCACATGGCCCTTGTGCAGAAGCGGCCCCTGCAGGCGCTGTTCTTGGTGAGGCGGGCGCGGGCTCGCTGGTTGAAGGGCTGCATCGACGTTTTCCGTAAAAGTATGCGGGTAGAACTCAGTGTCAAAAGCTTGGGGGAGTTGCTCCAACGCAGGGAATGCAAACTCCCCCAAAACCTTAGGAACGAGGAACCCAATTGGGGGAAGCGGCACATGTCTGCTTGTGGGTTGATTACTTGTGCCGAGCGATGCTCGCATTGGCGTTTGCGGCAGGCTCTCTGCCAACTTTTAGCCAAGCCGAAGTTCTCTTTAAGTCACAGCCCGAGGTAAAGCCATGGAGTATGTTCCAAGGTTG